ACCAATCACAATCACAGCAAAAGACCAAAAGCAAAAAAAAAAAAAAATCAGCGCGGTGACTGAAGTCTTTCCACCTGTCAATCTCAACACACTCAAATGTCAAATTCGAAAAACCCTAAAAACCCGAAAAAATTCGACTTTACTTTTTTCAATTTCTCATTCAATTCGGAAAATGCATTGTTCGAATGAATGAACGAATGAACGAATGAATGAACGAACGAATGAATGAATGGTCGACAAAACTCTGCTCGCTTTTGCAACAAAGCTCGCTTCAATGCGAAAAACTCATGTTTCAACATCCATCTCCACCAATCCTCCCTCTCCTACTGTACTGGACTGCACTTTGCTGCTGCATTTCGCTCACTTGTCTTCATTCCATGCACATTCTCAGATTCGCATATTTCTCAGACCCTCTTCAGACCATGCCCGCCGCAATGACCCCAGTCACACTCGCTCAGACAAGACGCACGCGCGCAATCCGCCTGGCTGCCGCTGCTGTCGCGGCTACCACCGCTGCAGGCCTCGCATTCACGACCACCTCCACAAAAGTAGCATACCCGACCACACCAAGATTGTCCACCGCTTTGCCGCAGCCGCAAATCACCCTCCAGACAAAATCAGTCCCAGCAACCCGAGCTGCTCCGAAACCGGCACAGCATTTGCTCGGCGGAACAGTCGGCGGCATCATGGGCATTGTGGCCTCGTATCCGTTCGATACAGTCAAGGTGCGCATCCAAACGCAGCCACCTGGCTCGGCATTGTACACGGGCATGGTCGATTGCTTCCGCAAAATCATCAAGAGCGAAGGTGTAAGTGAATGACTTTTGTTTGTGTGAGTTGTTTCCGATTTCGGATGTCGAGGACATGCAAACTCACATCCATGCTCCATCAGGCACTTGCACTGTACAGCGGCATGCTGTCCCCCGTCGTAGGCGTCGCAGGCGTCAAGGCAGTCGTTTTTGGCTCGTACGGCGGCATTTCGCAATGGCTTCTGGCGCGAAAGCAAGGCGTCGTGGCAGGTTCCGAGCAGCCACAGCAGCAGCAGCAGCCCGTCAAACTGTCTGGCTTTGAGAATGCGCTTGCCAGCTGCAGCGCTGGTCTCGTGGCGACAATTGTCGTCACGCCGGTCGAGCGCGTCAAGGTCTCGATGCAGGCCAGCGGCGGCAAGGCGTTCAAGTCCACTCTGGACTGCGTGCTCTCGCTTGTTCGCACCGCGGGCATCTCGGGTGGGCTTTTCAAGGGATTTGTCCCCACAGTACTGCGAGAGGTGCCCTCGTATGGCGCGTACTTTATCTCCTACGACATGGCCAAGCGCGCGTTCTGCCAACCAGGGCAAGACGTGTCCACCCTCAGCCCCGGCTTGCTTGCGCTTGCTGGCGGTATTGCAGGCGTCATGGCATGGGTGCCCATCTATCCGATCGATGTGATCAAGTCGCGCATTCAGGCGCAACCCAGCAGCGCTTTGGTTGCCGCATCGTCCGGCAGCTCCTCGCGACCCTACTCTGGCGTGGTTGACTGCGCCGTTCGCAGTTATCGAGCAGAGGGCCTCGGCGTATTCTTCCGCGGACTCACTCCAACCATCGCCCGTGCCTTCCCATGCCATGCCGCCGTCTTCCTCGGCTACGAGTTGACGCTGCGTTACACTGCACCATTGTTCGCATGATTGTGCCCTGTCTGTTTGTGCGTTGTTGTAAATTAATTATCATAATTGCTTTTTTTTCCGTTGAAGGTTCGAACATTGTTTCATGAGCATGCAAAACCAACTGCAAGTTTTTTTCACATCACAGCGCCTTTCGCCATGGCTTGACGCTTGTTGTACTCTTCCAACCATTCACTTTCGGCCAGCTTAGGAATGGCCGCCGTGAACAGGGCCTTCACCTTTTCAGCGTTTGAGCGCATGACAGCAAGCACTCGCGCCACGGTGACCTAGCAAGGCGGAACAAAGTCAGTCTCTCCAATTCCAAAACATCCAAACACCCTCCAACAACAGTACGGAGCATACAGGCTCATCAGATTCACGCCAGCAGTCGTAATCCGTTGACATGGCGATGCTGGCATACAGCAGGCCGGCTTCGGCGGCGAGGACCACCTAGGAACGAGGCAATTACAGAGTTAAGACAATCGCGCGGAGCGACACAACGAAACAACGTGCACTGTTGCTTTACTTCTGGCACTGTGGTCATGTTGATGACATCTGCGCCCCACTGGCGGAACATGCGGCTCTCAGCACGAGTCGAGAAGCGCGGGCCTTCGATGGTAATCATGGTGCCAGAAGGATGGAATGCATAGCCCGCACGCTGACACTCGGCAGCAAGAACCTGTCGAGTGACGGGATCAAAGGGCTCGGCCATCGGAATATGGCAAACTCCAGGAGGCGAGTTGACGCCGCCATCGTGGAAGGTCTGGACGCGTTTCGTGGTGCGGTCGATAAACTGGTCCAGCAGCACGAGGTGGCCAGGCTCAATTTGCTCACGCAGTGATCCACAGGCGGTGGAGACAATCAGATGGGTGCAACCCTCGTCCACCAGCGCTTGAATGTTTGCGCGGTAGTTGACAGCGGAGGGATGGATGGTGTGTTTGCGGCCATGTCTGCCAGCGCATGCCCAACACAACCAGGCTGTAACAGTGAGCTTTTTGTCACTGAATGCATGCTCAGAGAAGGACGACCAAGATGTTTCAAACGTGATCTCCAAACAGGTGTGAGCATGGTTGTGTGATTTGCGACTTGAGGATGCTTACCGAGCGAGCAGGACGCAGTTCACACCGCGGATTTGGCCAAGAATGAGCACATCTGACGGCTAGTTTGCCAGGAGAGTGGTAGCATTCAGTGCATGTCAACAATGTCGTTCATTGTGTGAGCGAAGAAGCGGCGAATTTCGAAAGTGTGTGGTTTTTGTGATGCAGATCACATGCAGCCTGGCAATGCCACCGCGCCGCCCCTCCCCGCCCGTCCCCCAGCACACACAACAGAAGACACACACAAAGCAGCATGGCAGCAAAAAAAAGCACGCTTCGCCTCCTGCTGCTGCACGGGGCTCACCTTGCCGTAACGCGTGGTCACTTCCTTCTCGACGCGGTTTTCGAGAATGTCCGGATCGTCCAGGCCCGAGCCGCCAATGATACCGACCTGACAGAGCACACATGGGTGAGCGATGGTGAGCACGGCGCGAGTCTGTGGAGAGAGGAGCATCCAACGGTACCTTCAAAGACGGAGTTGTCATGATTGAGCAAATTCCAAAGAGAAAGGACTGGGACAAAAAAACTCAATCCAACGGACGTCCGATTCAGAATGAAATCATCCAACGTGTTGCAGCAACAACAAGTTTTGAGATGTCGCCATGTGAGACCCCAGGTAGGGCAGCTCGTTTTGTTTGCTTTTTTTTGCCGCGAAAACGCGAAAGCGCAGTCCTGTTTTATTGCCCAGCCTTCCTTCGAACATGAAGATTTCGCTTGAAACCGCGAACGGCCGCACGTACTCTGTAGCCTCGATCGAGGTCCCTGCCGACGCCACTGTGGCCCAGGCCAAGGACGCGCTCTGCAAATCCAGTTCGTTCCTTGCAGTTTGATCTTGGTTTTTCCCGCCTTTTTTTTTTTTTTTTTCAGGATCTGCTGCGTCTCTTTCCCCTCCCCCCTGCCCCGTCTCCCACTTCCGCGTCCCACCACACGACTTGCTCGTCGTACTGCGTTCATCTTGCTCTTCACGGCAGTCCGTGCCCCAGTTGCACGTTCCTGAACCTGCTTTTGTTGGGGGTGGAAAACAATCATCCGATCGTCTCTGTTCCTCATGGATTGACCCCTCGACCATCACTCACTCACTCACCCACTCACCCACTCACTCATCATCATCTTCGCTACATTCGTGCTCCAAATTCGTAGAGAAGAGCTTGTACCCGTCCCGCATCGCCTTCAAGCGCGAGCCTCGTAAGTCCTATTCTGCTGCTTCATTCAAGCGGCTTGTCGTTGTCACCGCCTCACAACGTCACTCTGATCTCCAACGCATTTCTTGCCCCCTTTTGGAACAGGCGGATCGTTGCTCAAGGACAGCGAGAGGCTCGGATCCAGCGATCTCAAGCTCTTCTTCAAGGACCTCGGTAACGCACGGTGGAGCATTTTGTTGGACCGCCTCAACAACTCTCCACACAACTCACTGAACTCGACGTTGAAAATGTGCTGCATTCAACCCCAACAATCATCTTGCTTGTATTCGCGTTTCAGGCCCGCAAATCGGTTACAGCACGGTGAGGCGATCGGAAAAAGGGTAAAAAAACCAAACATTGTCAACCCAGAAACTCACCGTACAGTGCAAACAGGTCTTTTACACCGAGTACGCCGGCCCCCTCCTCGTCTACCTGCTCTTCTACATTCGTCCCTCTATTTTCTACGGCCAGGGCGCCTGCGAGCTTCCTTACAGCTTTGCCACCAAGTAAACATTACGAGTTTCTGTTGCAGCACTTCTTGTTTTGGCTCTGCATTGTCTGACCCTTCCCCCTTCGCCTCACCGTCTTCGTTTAGCGTTGCTGCTCTCTGCTGGACCTTCCACTACGCCAAGCGCCTGCTCGAGACTCGCTTTGTGCACCGCTTCTCGCACGGAACGATGCCCATTCTGAACATTTTCAAGAACTCGGGCTACTACTGGGGCGCTGCCGCTCTTGTTTCGTACTTTATCAACCACCCTCTGTACACTGCTCCTGACACTACGTTCGTTTATATTGGTCTGGCTGGCTTCATTGTGAGTTTGACGCAAGTTCCCACAAGTTTTTTGTTTCTCTTTCCTGTCTCTCTATTGGCTGTTGTCGTTCTGCTCACGTTCTCATCCCTCCCCGATGTTTCTCGACTTGCAGATCAGCGAAATTGGCAACTTTTCCATCCACTGGGCCCTGCGCAACCTTCGCCCTGCAGGCACCACCACGCGCCGCATTCCCGTGCCAACCGCCGACCCGTTCACGGCTCTGTTCAACTTGGTGTCGTGCCCCAACTATACCTACGAAGTTAGCTCCTGGTTCTTCTTCAACGTGATGACCTGGACTGTTGGTGGTATGTTTCACTTTGACCAGCAACAAGAGACGGGTCGTTTGCGTCCTGTTGGAGATGCGTTGCCTGCCTCGTTGTTTTGCTCTCTTCCCCCATCTCACCGTTTCACATTGCTCGGTCATCGCCCGATACAATCCAGGTGTTCTGTTCATGCTCGTGGGCCTCGCTCAAATGTCCCAGTGGGCTCTTGGCAAGCACCGCAACTACAAGAAGGAGTTCAAGGACTACCCCAAGGGTCGCAAGGCAATCCTGCCCTTCTTCCTTTAACTGCATTCTTGTGTTGAAGCTTGTGTCCTGGTTCTCGCGACAATGAAATGACTTGAGAAATTCAACGCGATCGCCTCAAACCATTTTTTGAGTCCTGTGCTCGCAGCAAGAGCCCTGCACCGTGTCTGTCTTTCATTCTGCAAATCATTCCGAGATCATACGAAGATACTTACAATGCACGCAGTCAAATCGACTCAGTCTTCAAACACTCAAACAAAAACAAAATTTCAAAATGACTCGTAAGCGGCTGATACCTTTTCCCTCTTCCTTCCAGTTAGCCGCTCGTATGCATTTAGCGTTTTTTATCTCACTTATTGCGTAACTTTTTTTTTTTTTTTTTTTTGCTTTGCTTTGCTTTTCCAGGCGGCAACCAGCGCGATATCAACCGCGACCGTACCGTCAAGGCCAACAAGGAGAAGTCTAAGAGCATCCCCATCAGCCAGAAGGGCGACAACGTCGGTCTGACGCACTCGCAGCGCATGGAACGGTAAAAAACGCCTTTTAAACCAAGCACACAAAGCAGGATTGTATGGGTTTTCCATTGACGTTCTGCCTGGCATCCATTGCATGGCTGTTGTTGTTGTTGTTGTTGTAGAGACGCACAGGCATTGCGTGACAAGGCCGCCAAGAAGGCCGCTGCTGCGGAAGGCCAAAAGTGAGCAACCTGGACGACTTCGGTTGTTGCTCTCAGTCTCTCTGGTCTGCGCTCGAGCGACTACCAAACAAAAAAGCCACTCGCGAATTGTCTGTTTCGCTAACAAGCTTTGTTGGGGTTTCGTGGTCTCCTTTTTGCTTCCGTTTTGCTTCTATCGCTTTTATTTTTGACGTTTGCACGCACTTTTGGTTACACCTTGAGTGCTCTGTTTCCATTCTACAGAAATACAAAAAAAAAAAACATACTCCCGATCGCATCTCGCAACTACGAGGCACAGCAACAAATCATTCGTCGCTGCTAGCACGAAGGGGACCCTTGGCGCTGAGCAAGGCGCGGTTGTGGGGCAAGTTCCAGTCCTGGGGGAAGGTCTCGGGCACAATGCGGTAGGGGTTGAGCGTGGGGTGGCTGCAGTAGTAGTGGTTCTTGATGTGCGTCTCATTGACGGTCGCGCCAACACCGTGGAGCTGGTACATGTCGCGGCAGTAGTTGTACAGGTTGGGGAACTCGCGCAGCTGCTTCTTGCTGCACTTAAAGTAGATTGTGTACACTGGATCAAAGCGGAAGAGCGTCGTGACCAAGCGAACGTCGGCCTCGGTCACACGATCGCCAACCAGGAAGCGCGACTTTGCCAGAATGCCCTCGACCCGCTCGAGCGCTTCGAACAAGTTGTTGACGGCAACAGTGTATGCGCCCTGGCGTTGGGCAAATCCCGCCTTGTACACGCCGTCGTTGATCTTGTCGTAGACCCACTCGTTGACGCTGTTAATCTCGTCGCGCAGCTTGGCCGGGTACAAGTCAATCTCGGGGTACTTGGCGAACGCGTTAAACTCGCTGTTGAGCATGCGGCAGATTTCGGACGACTCGTTGTTGACCACGGTCTTTGTCTTTGTGTCCCAGAGCACCGGCACCGTGAACTTGCCCGCATACTTGGGATCTGAGAGCAGGTACAAGTCGCGGATGGATTTGGCGCCGTTGAACGGATCCGAGTCGCACTTGTCGTCGTGGCGGTTGTCCTCCGCGGGACTGTCTGCGAATGGGTGCTCGACCTTGTCCGAGAAGACCCAGCCACGGTGGTTGTCGGTGGTGCTTGTGCGCTGCCACACTGGGTTTGAGTTGGTGTAGCCGACCACTCCCTCGAGTCCCTTGAGCGCGCGCACAATCAGCGTGCGGTGGTTCCACGGGCACGCCGCAGACCCGTACAAGTGGTAGCGTCCAGCCTCCGCCTTGAGCCCATCGGGCCCAGAGCCGTCCGCGGTGATGCTGCGTCGGAAGGAGGACGCCGTGCGCTTGAACGCGCCAATCTGGTCGACCTCGGCCAGCGCCGTGTGCGCCTTGCTGGTGGTGCTGGTCGCGGTGGTCGCGGTGGCGTTCGCGTTGGTGGTTGATGCAGTTGACATTGCGCGCGTGGTTTGTGAAAGCGGGGAGAAGACAATGAAAAGTTGGGTGATGGCGAAATCGCGGCGAATAAGACCCAAAATCATACAAAAGACTGAGAAATATCGAAACAGGAAAACAGGAAAACAGGAAGACAGGAATAAGAAAGATGAACACAATGCATGAGCAAAGCAGAGGAAGAGCAACGACTTGAAAACAAATGTACAGTACATTGTGACAAACCAAGGCGCATGAACAATGGCGCTCAGACCACACGCTCGAAACGATACTGAACAAACCGAACAAAACGAACAAACCAAGAAACTATCGCGGATTCGACGGAGCTGCCGAGGCTGCAGTCGCCGCCGTGGACGAGGAAGGTCCTGGCTGCTCGGAACCGTGCGGGTGATACAAGCGACGGCTACTGTGACAAAAGTACCGGGCAAGCGGAGCATGGGTTTCGAGATAGCGCACTCGCTTGACACGACGCGACATCTGGTCAACAGCCCGCCGACGCGCAGCGCCCATGACATGCCGAGGAGGCGAAACCGCGGCCGCGGCGGCGGCGCTGGTGTCTGCGGCAACAAACTTGTCAATCGCGGCCAACACGCTTTCGTTCTCATCATCAATCGGGTCGACGCCGAGAGCTTGCTCACGCTGGGCGATCGAGCTCTCAGACGCACGTCTGGGAGCGAGAGGGTCATATACGAACGGAAAGACGTCTTCCTGCGCGCGTGCTCGGGCAAGTACGGAATCGGGAAACACCGACTGAACGTGGCTGATGAGCGGGTCTGCTTCTTCCCAATCGACGGGCGGTGCGGCTCTATTGTAAAGAGGAGTCCGGCGTGGAAACATGTTTGAAAAGACGACAGGAGGACGAGAAGGAGGAGCAAGTGCGCGAGCGGTGAGGGCGGTGAGAAGGCCATAAGGAGGGTAAGGACGTGCGGTGGTGCCCATGGAGCTGTGGTGTGTGTTCAGGGCAGAGCGGGGAGCGGATGATGCAGCTTCACCAGAGCTCGTCAACTCAAACAGCGAGCTGTCCGAAGCGCGAAACGCGGGCAAGTGCGCTGCGGCTGTGGCTGATGTAGCTGATGCAGCTGGAGCTGTAGATGTAGCTGTTGATGTTGCTGTTGCTGTTGCTGTTGCTGTTGCTGTTGCTGTTGTTGTTGATGTTGCTGTAGCTCTAGGTGCAAGAAACAACGCAGTGTAGGGAGTGAGGTAGCCACTGCTGTCGCTGTGATTGCCGCTCGCGCTGCGATTACTGCTGCTGCTGCTGCTGCTGCTGCTGCTGCTCTCAGATCGTACATCGAATGCGCGCCTCGTCTCGTTTTCACGACTGCTGTCGCTGTCACTGTCGCTGTCACTGCTGCTCTCAGGTCCTCGTTGGAATGGCGCACCTAGAAAACTTTCACTTTCGTCGCTGTCGCTACTGCTGCTGCTGCTGTCCACCTCGTAATTCCGATTGCTGTAAGTAGTGACACGTGAGTTCGCTGCTTCGGTCTCTTCAGAGTCGGAGGAGTCTCCGCTGTCATTATCATTATCATTGTTATTGTCGTCGTCGTCGTCGTCGTCGTCGCCAGAGTCGTTGTGAAGCCCAGGGTTATTGTCACTTTCGTTCGATTCAGATTCAGATTCACTCCGATGCTCGTCGAAAGGCTCGCGGTTGGACGTGCCATACATGCGAAGCAGGGATGCATCGTCGTCGCTCGAGTCGTCGCTCGAGTCGTGGTGGCGGATTGCAAAATGGGCATGGACTTGCTCGATGTCGACGTCGTCGCCGTCGTCATCGTCGTCGTCTCTGCTGGGAATTATGGTGCCCTGCTCGCGATTGCTGCTACTAGTGTTGTTGTTGTTGTTGTTATCGCTGCTGTTGTTGTTGTTATCGCTGCTGTTGTTGTTGCTGTTGGTACTGAGAGCAGGAGGAATAGAAACGCTGGAAATTGTTACGGGGGGTGAACTTCCGTCGTCCGCGAGGAAGGCAAACAGCGATGAGAGTAATGGAGACAAGCGTTCGTCGCGTTCCTCTGGTCTCAGCACATCGACCACCGTCAGTCTTTCTGGCCAGATTGGCAGGGAATCTTGTGGCTGTGTTTGTGACAGCCATGGGTAGCGGCTAACGCTGTCACGCTCAGTGTTTTGATCATTCGCGTTTGCCTCGAAATGTCGCGCCAGTTGCTCTGCGGTCGTGGACGTGGTCGTGGCAGCAGCAGCACTTTCAGCCCTTGTGGTTGTAGTAGTATCAGTACTCATCGCCCGAGTAGTCGTAGCAGAAGTAGTCGTAGTACTTGAGTGGCTGGCTGGAGCCTCGCTGTTAAGCTGTTGGGTGCCAAACAGTGAGCGGACGTCGCTCCTGACGCTGTTCTGGCGCCGCAGCATCCACGGACGGTTGTACATCTGCACCAAGCGCAACAATCGCGCCTGTTGCTCTGCTTGGCGCGCTTCCTCGTCATCGATGGCGGTCGTGGCAATGCTTCTTGCACGGGCAATCATCCTTCGCGCTCGGCGTCGGTAGTGCGAGGCGGTGCCCAGCACGTCCTCCGTATCCGCAGCAGAGTCCGTCTCGTTATTACGCCTGAGAGTGTACCAGTCAAGGTGGCGGTCGTTGTCGTCCTCCTCCTCGTCGTCGTCCTCGTCGTCGTCGTCGTCGCTGCTCGCTGTCATTCGCTGCGTGCGTCGTCGGAGTTCCATGTGCCGCATGAACTGGCTCGTGCCATTGAACGGCGCTGGCCGTGCTCCTGATCCAGCTCCGGATGATTCAGTTCCTGTCTCTGCCCCTGAGAGCGGTTGAGACGGGCCACGATGAGGCTGACGGGGATGACGGAAGCCGTGCTGCTGGACGCCCATGAACTGGCGCTGCTGCAGTCGAAACGCGGCCACTTCAGCCTCCGTCTCGCGCGTCGGTGCGTCTGTGCGGGGAAAGTGGATGCCCATCGCGACTGGAAGTGCAAAAGAGAGTGAGCAAGAGTACACACACACACACACACAGAAGCTGATGGAAGGTTGGAAGCAGAGTAGTAAAAAAAAAAAAAAAAAAAAAAAGAAAACAGAAAAAAGGACTGAGATTGACAGTTCCAAAAACGGCATTGGGTGATCAATCTGTCATTAAATGATGATGTGCAAGTAACAAAGCGAACGCATGGCATGGAATGACAAGTTGAGTGAGAGAACGACACAACAAAGAAAACAGATTCGTGTGTTTGCAAGCAAAATCCAATGCAAAACGCACTCAAACAGCTTCTTCGTACTGTACGTTGATGCCAAAAGCATAAAAGCATGTTGGAGTATTGCATAAACCAACGCTGCTGATACTCTTGCGGCCAGGCACTCACCAAAGAACGAAAGTCCACCCCAAAACAGACAAACTGGAATCAGCAGCTCAGCAGCTCAGAGCTCAGAGCGTTCAGCCAGAGCGGAGGAGCAAAATCGTCCGAATCTTGCGTTCTGAGCTTGTTCTTGTTTTGTCTCAGATTTCTCATGATTCTGTGATGTCGTCTGAGTTTCCATGATTCGGATGTCTCAGTCCTCTCTTTTTCTTTTTTGATTCCTTTTAGAACAAGAACAAAATGCTGATTGTTCTGACTGATGCGCACAAGGAGCACCTGAGCTTCCTTACGACTGTCGATGCGAGTGGTGAGAGAGCTCAGATCAGAGCTTGGCGTTTGATAGAGTTGGCATTAGAGTGGGATTTGGCTGCGATGTTGCATTGAAGCACCATCATGCCCCCCGCCTCCGCCTCCCCGTCTGAAACTTGTACTCACCTGTCTCGAAATGCTTGGCGTGTTTATCTGTCTGTCTGTCTGGATGTGTCAATGTTAGTGGTCGCCGAGTTTGCCAATCTCGCCGTCGAGTTTGTCCGTGTCGGCATCAACCCAAAGCTCTACAACGCCGCCGCTCGTACGTCGTCATCACAGTCATTCACGCTTTTGCTGTTGCTGTTGCTTGCTTGAGTGGTTCGACGCTAGTGAGACAAAGACTGAAGGAGCAGCATTGGAGATCTCGGCCATTGGATCCTTGTGACCTGCTCGTGCTACTGCACTTTGTTGAGGCCGAGCCCCCCCCCCTTCCACACTGCTCCAAAAGTGCCCACAGTGGATCAGTGAACCGGAAAGCAAGAGTCATCACAATCAAATGGGGCGGTGCGGGGGGGGGGGAACGGGTTGGTTTGCGACGATTTCACTTGACTTGAATCTCTTCAATACGATTGAGAACGAGATCAGAACAACTCACCACTGACTTGTACTTTTGATCTGCTTGAACATTGACAGAAAAGCTGGGCATTGCGCCAGACGCAATCAGGAACGCCGTCGAGGGTCTGATGTACCTGCTTGTCGAGAGCGCAAAGCTCATGACGACCGAGATTGACTTTCACGACTCCATCTTGACACTCGGCTTTAGCGAAGAGCTGCGCCAGCAACTGCTGCAGCTCTATCTCGACAACAGGAAGGAAATCCGGCTCATCCTCTCCGAAATGACCATCAACGTGCCTTCCTACCACAACTTGGAATGGCGGCTCGACGTCCAACTCGCATCACGCTCTCTCCGCCGCCAGACCGACCCTATCGTGCTGCTCAAGCTCGAGACAAGAACTCAAGGTTTGTCGTTGCTCACAACGGGTTGTTGCCAGCGATGTTTTTGTTGCTCACACTCCGTTTTTGTTCTTTCCCTATTCCTCGATCGTCAACAGAGGTACAACAGCAATTCCTTCAAACAGATCCTGCAGGCTTGGTGCATTTGACATCGGTGCTGGATGCAGCGCTGTCCGAGCTCAAGTCGGCACACACGCGACGCATTCTGCGCAACATCAAGTAATCGCGCGTTTGTTGATCCCATTCCAAATTTTCATTCGATCCATGTTGGTTGTTGATGGTAGATGTTTGCGTGAGTCTGTGTGCGTGTGTGTGTTGTGTGTGTGTCTCTTTTCGAGAAGCATTGTGAGATATGAAATATCAATGTGCTTTGTTCATATTGGTGTTTATTAATATTCTAATACGTTGTCGCACATCCTCGGGCTTGCAGCGATTCGAGAGACAGGGCCACATGCGCATCCCCCAACAGCTGAAAACCATAAAAATCTCGGACGGAAACCACACAAACCAAACCTAAAAAAATGCACTGCGCTCAAGCTTTGAACGCGCCGACAGAGGCAGAGGCGCCGTTGATCGCAACCACGCGACGCGAAGACGCGAGGTAGGCGGCAATGCGCGGACGAGCGGCAATGCTCTTGTACACCTCGCCGATGCGGTCAAACTTGGCGACGACGCTGCGAGCATCTTGGCCGAGCGCAAGAATCTGATCGACCAGCTCGAACAGCATGATGTCGGCATAGGACACGCGGTCTTGGGACAGCAGGTAGCGGGTCTTGTTCTGGTCGTACACGCGCTCGATGGTGGTGAACGAGTTCACTAGGGTCTTGTTGATGAAATCGCCAACCTTGGCGGCAAACTCCTTGTCGTACGCGAGTGTAGCATACTGGCGGCGGAGGTCTGCGATGCCCTCAGCAAGCTGATCGCAGCGTGCGGCAGAGTACGCATCACCGCCATCGAGGCCTGCAGGAGTTCAGATTTGGTGAGCAAAACAGATCCTAGCTCGCAAATTTTTGATTTTTTTTTTCGCGTTTGCTTGTCGCTCGACATCAAAACCCCGAACAAAACTCTGTGTGCCTCACTCACCAGTGCTGCGAGCAATGAAGCGGATGATGGCCTTGCTCTGAGACAGGATGAACTCGCCCTTGTTCACATAGAGAATCGGCATCTGTCCGAATGGATTGTCAGCGGCGCGCTGTTGCTTGATGCCGCCCTCGTGCCAGTCGTGGAAGGAGATGTTCTCGCTCTCGTACGCAATGCCAGACTCCTCTGTATCAAACAATGAAGCACAGTAACGTCAAAGTAAGCGAAAATGCGGTTTCAAAGTCTCAATCACGAATCACGACCACCAAGTGAAGCTCAGCCACCCAAACATCATCAGCGAGAACCAAAAGAAAGTGTGCGCTTTACCGAGAATCAGGCGAATGTCCTCCGCCAGGCCGCGGATGGGGAAGTAAGTCAGCTTGAGATGGTCTGCGAGAAATTTCAGGGGCGACAAAAGATTGCATTAGAATGAGCAGACTATACGAAGTGATTCACCGAGCGAGGCTGGGATTTGGTACTCGGCAGGTTCACTCTTTCGAAAGAAAAAAACCGCGGCTCTTTTGAACCACAGCAGCTTCGCTTGCATCTACATACGGGGAGTCGTAAAGAAGAGCGGCTTGGCGTGGTGCGCAGCCTGTCCGCCAGTGGGATGGTCGCTGGCAAGCGAAGGCGAGGAAGTCTTGGCCGGCGAGGAGAAGAGCGAAGCGAAAGCCTGAGCAGCGAACATGTTCTGAGAACTTGAGGACTGGGAAAATATTGAGGACTGGATGATGATGATGATGATGATGACGATGATGATGATCAAGACAAAAGCACGATTGATTTTCTGGTTGACTTCAACCAACGATACACAATATACACGAACGAAGGACGAAACAACAAAATAAGTGAAACCGCTCTCACGTGGAATGGGTGCTGCCGACGCTCGACGCGTTGCGCGACGAAAGCGGCGCGGGGGCAATACCAGCATACGCGGACGTGGGAGGCGGCGGTGGCTTGGGTGGCCCGGAGCTTCGAGGGGGCGGCGGAGTTCCGCTCCCGCCTTCGACGGAAACGTAGTGAAGGGAACCGGATGAAGGCGTGGCGTAGGAGGTCTTGTTCGAGCCGGGAGAAGCATATTCGGACGACATTCTGCCTGCTGTTGGTGTTTGGTAATGCGACGCTGGTGGTAGTGGCGGCGGCTGCGACGAAACGGGCGGGCGGAGAGGATCGTAGTCACCGTTTGTCGGTGGGCGGAGGGGATCGTAGTCGCCATTTGCCTCCCGGCTCTTTGCACTGCTCATCTGCAGATTGTCATAGATGATGACGCTCGAGTGGCCATGCAGCGGGTTGAGTTCCATCCCGTTCGTGCCGGCCGAGCTGTGTGTGCGTGCGCGGCCGGCCTGCTTCTTCTGCTTGGAACGGCGCCGACGAACAAGCACCACCAGGAGGAAGATGAGCAGGATGAGCAGGGAAATGCCGCCGCCAATGCCAGCGCCGACTGCAGCAGCCATGGCGGTGTCATCCGTTGACTCGGTGTCGCTGTCCCGTAGTTCAACCATGATGACACTCAGCGGGCCGAGTGTGGCGCCATTTGTTGGGTTTTGCAAGGCAAGGTACAAGGCTTTGGTTCCTTCGGGGATGTCATCGTTGCGAATGGTCAACACCAGCAAGTCCGTCGTGCTGCTCTGTCCAGCAGCAAAGCGCACCAAGAGCGGTGACGTGACTTGCAAGTCCGAAGTTAAGGATACGCCTTCGTCCGGATGGTAACGATTAAGGAAGGGTGTGAACGGAGCGATGGACGCGTTCGTGCCTGCGACGACAGTGACAGCCACTGCGCCAAGAACACCAGCGTTGCGCAGCACAGGAATGGTCAGCGAAGGGGTGCCCTCCCAAACCGTGTAGACATCATCGCCAAGCGGATTGCCAGAGGGTGCAAACTCCATCCGGCCGTACGGATCATCGTTGGCCGCAATCGTGACCGTGGCCACAGAGGCATAGGTGAGGTAGGCGGAGCCCGCAGTGATGCCCGTCAAGAGCACAGTGAACGTCTCGTCCAGCTCGGGAATGTCGTCGTCGTCAACCGCAATGCTAATCACAGTGCTCGCTGCACCGGCTTCAATCACAACGGGCGCGTCCTGGATGGATGCGTCAAAGTCTTCACCGCCGGCTGTGCCAGTTCGGACACTGTAGGTGAATGTCACGGCACCAAGCGCTGAGCCAGTGCGCTCCACCGTGACGAGCGCAACGCCAGCGCTCTCCTGAGCAATGAATGTGAGGGAAGTGAAACGGACGACGCCGTCCACGGCGTTGCTGGCCTCGATGGCACATGGAATGACAGAAGGGGCGTCAGCATCGAGCGTCGCCAGAGATCCCGAGCTGGGACTCAGAACAATGTTGAATAGACGAACAGGGGCTTGAGCGGCAACGGCATTGAAAGAGTTGGATGTCTGCGACGTCTGGCCAGCCGCAAAGCTCACAGTCCGCACCACTTGATTGTTAAAGTCAGCGGCAGTCACCGGTGTTGTGAATTGCAAGGTGGCATCGCCTGTCACAGTTCCGAACGTGCCGAAATAGCGCGCAACTTCTGCAGTGAAAGTTGAGCCACGAGTGACGAGGAACCGTGCACTGCCATCAGCCGACTTGGTCAACGTTGGAGTGACAAAGCCAATGGTGCCGTAGGGTTTGTCGTTCTTGTTAATGGTCACTGTGATTGTCGACTGTGCACCCAAGGTCGCACCGCCAGTGGGGCTGGACAGGGTAACAGCGAAAGTCTCGTCCAGTTCCGGAAGCGAATCCGCGCGAATGACGACCTGAATGACCGCACTCGAGTGGCCCTGAAGCAGCGTCACAGTGCCTGCGCCTTCCACAAAGTCCAATCCAGCTTGGGCATTGACGCTGTGGTCGGAGCCGGTGATGGAGGTCGCCCAGGCAAACGTAACGTCGCCAAACAGTCCTGCCGTTCGCGTAATGGCAATGGACACATTGCTGTCAGCAGCCGGCTCGTCAACCGCCAAAGTGGCAGCGTCAAATGCCAAAACGCCATGCGGGCTGTCGCTTTCCGCAATTGTCACCAGAACGTCAGAAGCAGTCGAGTCAACCGCACCGCCGCCGCTGACAATCTCGAGGCGAACGCCAAAGACCTCGGCGAGTTCAGGAATGGTGTCATCCAGGATGGCAACAAGAGCGTTCTTGGTCAGGATTCCAGCGGTAAACTCGACATCCACAGGTGTCGAAACGAAATCCGAGTCAATCGTGGCCACAGGTGTGCCAGTTGACGTGTTGAATGCGACAGCGTACGGAGTGACGCGGACAGTGACAGTGCCAACGCTACCACGAGCACGTGTGATGGTGAGACTGGTCGATGATGGTTCAGGCCAGGAGGAGGCAGTATTGGCAATGCTGAACAGACCGTAGGGGTAGTCATGTTCGGGCACTGCAACGACCGACGATCCGTAGTAGCCAATCGGAGTCGCTTCGCCAAGAGTCACAGCGGTCGCAGCAGTGATGGTGTACGTCAGCGTTGAAGGGACGGTCGGAGTACCCATGTTTGGCACTGTGATGGGAACCGCAACAGTTTGCTGGCCTGCGGGAATTGTCGCAACGAATGTGGTGGCGCTGGCCACAGTGGAGGTCACGGAAAACGTGACATCGACGGCCGAGGCATAGGAAACGGCGCTGAAACGCTCCAACGTGATTGAGAACTCGGGGTTGGCCATGACGTTGCTCAAGCTGATCTGACGGGAGCCAGCGGACACGCCGACCGTGCCAAACTGCGACTGGCTGGCTTCAATCACAATCTGAGACCTGTTAAAGTGGTCGTCCAATGCCATGTTGAGGGGGTTGGCAAGTTGAATGTTGACCGTTTCTTGAGCCAACGCGCTGCCGCTTGCAGCAAGGTTCAGTGTGATGGTCTGCTGATGCACTGTCGAAGAAAACTGCAGCGGTGCTGAAGAAACAGCAGTCAAAGATGCCGAGCTGATGGTGAATTCGACACTCGCAGCAGGGACTTCGACGGGAGCCTCAACAACCAGGGAGATCGTGCTCGTGCCTGACGCGGGTCGACGAACCACCAGGAAGCGAGACGAAACATCAAACGCGACGCGACCATCAGCCGCGCACTCCAAACCATTGCCCAAAAAGCCAGGCTTGCAGGCGCACGAGTAGTTTCCAGGGGTGTTTGTGCATAGGGCGTCACTGCTGCACGGGAACGGGATGCCATTGCACTCATTCACGTCGTCGCAGTGCGTTCCGTTGCCGGAAAAGCCAGCCTTGCAGGTGCAAGTAAACGAGCCAATAGTGTCGGCACAAGTGGCATTCGCAGCGCAGTTGTGCATTCCAGTCGTGCACTCGTTGATGTTGATGCAAGATTTGGCGTCAGGCTGCAGCTGGTATCCACTGTTGCACGAGCAAGCGTAGGAGCCAGGGAGATTGTTGCAGATGTGCTGGCAGCCGCCGTTCGCGGTGCTGCACTCGTTGTTGTCGAGACAGCCGGTTGCGCCGGTGCCGTCGCCGTTTTTCGTGTAGCCAGTGAGGCAGCTACAGCTGTACGATCCAACCGAATTGGAACACGTCTGGTTGCAGCCGCCGTTGGAGGTAGCGCATTCATTTGTATCAACGCATCTGAGAGTTGTAGCTGTAGGTGCCCATGCGCCTGCTGTGCTGCAAGTGATGTTCGGAGAGCCTACAGAGATTGAGTAGCCAGCGTTGCACTGGTAGGTGCAGGTGGAGTTGGCGCTGACAGAGCTGCATTGGCTCTTGGTGGTGTTGGTCGGCGCAGCTGGAGCGGTCGGGCAGGTAACGAGCGTGTTGCAACTGGTACCAGTGTAGCCAGGAGTGCAAACCTTACTGCCTGTTGGCGAACACGTGTAATAGCCACCGTTATCGGGTACGCAATACACGCACGAACCAGAGCCGCTCGGATAGTAGTTGGGGGCGCAAGTCGAGCAGGAAGGAGCGCCAGTGTAGCCTGATTTGCAGGCTGTGCAAGCGCCAGACACGGGATCGCAGGTACTACAGTTTCCAGTGGAGGTGGTGCAGAACGTGTCGCATGTCGGGCCGTAATAGTTGGCTTGGCAGATGACACGATACGCAAACTTGATCCAGTATGCAGCATAGAAAGGATCGGTGACAGTAATGGGAATGTAATCAGCAGAGGAACCCGCTGTGTAGGTTCGGACGATGGAGCCCAGAGTCTGGGTTGACAAAAAGTCTGCGTCGTAGAAGTCCAACTCCACTGTAAATGAGCCCTGCAAAGCAAGAAATCGAAAAGGTGAGATTTCGCCGCGACCAGACTGTTTTGAGAATTGATTACTCACAGGGTAATTGTTGACCTGGCTGGTCGTGAAGTATTGCTCCCAGACTGGATTGTTCTCGTCTTGCTGTTTGGCAACTGAGCCAGAGAACTTAGTGGAGCCTATGGTAATGTACCAGTCCGAGAAACAGTCGCAAGCGGTGGCTCCCGAACTGTCGTCGCACGCAGGTCCGAACAAGGATGCTGAATCGTAATACAAGCCGATCTTTGCTTTGCCGGCATCGGCTTCAGAGCCGCACAGCAGCAAGATCAAAGCAAGACTGAAAAGTCCAACCAGGCATCTTTGCTTGAAAGGTGCCGCGCCAGCCATTTTGTTGGTGGCGAGCGAGTTTCCAACTAGTTCTTGCAGACAAGCAGAGACTTGGTTTTGAGGAATGGCGCGCTTATCGCCCTGACCTTTCTGTTAGTTTTTTTGCAATCTGCATTCAAAAAGCACACCAACAAAAGGGGGTGTTTAGTTTTTTCCTTCCTAGTTTCAAATCATCTCTGAACGCCCAAGCCCCTCCACACCCTTGACCCGAATCTTCCACCCCAAGTCCCTCTCCCTCTCTCTCTCTCTCTCTCTCTCTCTCTCTCTCCTGCCTACTGCTGTTCGTCTTCCTCATTCCTTCATCTTCTTCATGTGACTCGCTTCGTGCCATGTTCAATCCTGTTTGTCCCGCAAGCGGGGGTCACATTGGCTATTTGAGTCCCCCACTTTGTTGTTTTTGTTCGTCTCCTCTCTCTCTCTCCCCTCTCTCTCTCTCCTGATCCTCAATCCCTCTGCCCTTGTTTGCTCTCATACCGCGAATCACCCCCTTTCTCTCCCCCTTCCCCCTCTTCCGCCTTCCCCCTCCCCCTTCAAAGCCACAAAGCAAAAAAAAAAAAAAAAAAAAAGCAAAAAGCAAAAAGCAAAAAGCAAAAAAATAAAAAAAATAAAAATAAACCGCGGTTTCATCATTGAACAAACACACCTGCACAATCAACCATCATTCGTATCATCGTCAGCCAAACTTGGGCTTGCTGACTCTCTCTCTCTCTCTCTGTCTCTGTCTCTCTTCCGAGCTCCAAGACCAACTCACTCCCTCACTCTCTCTCACTCTATGAAGAGAACAGAGCAGGAAGCACACTTTGCAAAAAGGAGCCTGGAGTGTTGTGGATCAGCCGATTCAAAACAAATAATAAAATAAATAAAAAAATAAAAAAATAGGGGGGCAAAATTGATCTTGTTGGCGTCACCTGAACTCGCCGCGTTTTGCCACCCCACCCGGGACACCCCTTCTGACGCTTCACTCGTCCACACACGATTTGCACTTTGTTCGCTCATCACTTCTGCCGTGCAGCAACAACACGGAAGAACAGCAAAAGAAAGCAAAACGCAAAAGAAGGACTCACAGCAAAAAAAAAAAAAAAACCACAAAAAAAGTAATGCAAATTCAAACAAAAAAAAAAAAAAGAATGATTGGCAAAATTTTGATAAGGGAAAAATAATGATACAAATACTTCACTGTGAAATCAGAAAAAATGAAGACAAAGTAGAAAAAAACAAAAACAAAAAAGAAAAAAATCAAAAACTGTTGTTGTTGATCTACAATCGCACTACTCTCAAAACACAACGAGACAAGTCTCACAAGACGATCGCGAACGGCCACACTCACACCCCGCTCATCCACACAGAAGAGAGCCGATCGTCAGTCACACACGTGCAGGTGGGAAGGAACGCCGTTCAGCGCGAAAAACGGAGGAGGGGCTCCAGCCAAAATGCAAAGAAAACACCTCCGAATCCGAATCACAAGCGGGGGGGGTGCTTTTGTCAAATAAGAAAAACACGGCAGATCTGGAACGAGAACCACATTCAACCACGCTTCCCCGTTAACTATGAAACCCGCCCCGTTGGCAGCAGCCATCCGTGCTCGCAAGTGCTAGAAATCGAGCTTATCCACCGTCCGTGACAAAAAAAAAAGCCGCTCTCTGCTGCGCTTTTTGAGCGAAAAGAGAAGAAAAAAAAAAGCCAATCCTGTGCGTGCCTTCACGATAAGTGGACCAAAACTACTCGGCCGATGTTCAATGTAGGCCACTTCCTTCATCATTAACAGCGATAACAAATCGTAGCACAGAAACAACAGAAACAACAGACGAAGTGACGCAAACGAAGGCAATCGCAAAACAAAAAAAAACAAAGCAAAAACAAAAAAAAGTTGCAAGAAAGAGACCTGGCACTTCCATCCAGTGATGCGATGATGCGCTCGCGCCGGTCTCGCTACTTCGAGGATGCAGATGACCGGGGTGGGAGCCGACATGTGGAGTGTCCAACTATGTGGAACAATCGATGTTCTCAGTCCTTTTTTTCCCTTTTCGTTTCGTTCTTTCATTCTTTCTCTTTTGCTCTGCGACAAATGCGCCGCAGCAGGGGACGCGGCCGCACAGGTCAAGCCGCAAATCAAGCCGCAAATCAAGCCCGTGCTCAACAGACGACCCGCCTGAACACCGCTTCACCCGCAGCCCAGCCACAGTCGACAGAGTAAGCGATCCCTTCTCGTTCTGTCTCGTTTCGTGGCCACTTTGACTGACGTCGCGTTGAACACCGTCCACTCCACAGTCAGGCTGCAGACGTTGCAGACGTCGCTGATAGGGTCAGTCAACTCCAGCTGCATGACCAAGCACCCACTGCAGCTGCACCGAGCGACCCCATGGCAGACTTGGCTGCGTGTCTCGGTGTCTCGGCGGTCGTTTTGGCGCCATATTCGCCACGTCTTCCGAACGTCGACAAGGCTGCCCAGCGTGCAGGACTTCTGGAGGCTTTGCTCGGTCTAACATCAAATCAAGTTGAGCCTACAGCCGCACAGAGAGCAGCTGCGACTACGGTGCTCGTCGAGCTGGAGTTATCATTGAGCAGCCGTTTGCCGCGAATCTTACACGGACAGGAGTTGCTCTCCGATGTGATAGTTGAGCTGACGCTAGAGGAGGGCCGCAGAAGAGCCGAACAACGAGCCCAAGCCGCCAAACAAGAAGCCCAAGCCTCCAAACAAGAAGCCCAGGCCTCCGAACAACGAGCCCAAGCCGCCAAACGGCAGCTCGCTCTTCAGAGTACGCTTGTCTCGATGCATGAACATTCAAATTGTATGCTTTGCCGACACTCACTCTCCTAAACCTTCTCGTGCAGATGCCGCCACCACACTTGCCGAGATGATACCTAACCCGTCGCAGATACCGACCCCAGAGCACTGGCCATCGCCCGTCACGATTCTGTTTCCACGACCGGCCGCTGCTGCCTCCATTCTTGCCCATATTTGGGAGACATTGCACCCGCCAACAGATCGATATAAATTCAAGATGCTGCAAGTAGCGACGATGAGCGGCATGGGCAAGACGACCTACGGAGCAAACGTGGTTGCTCACCTGCTTCAAGCATTGCGAGACCTCGACATCCGCCAGACGCTCCCCAAAATTAGGCCGGACACGCTGATCGATCTGCTCGAGCATCGAACTCGGCACGTTTTCATCGATTTCAACGCGAAAGGGGACGCCATTCAAGGTGATGAGAACCACCAAGACCATTTCTGGCTTTCCCGTCGCCTTGTAGCTCGTGGTCTGCTCAACGTACCGATGACAACTGCGCGCACCGATTTCAAATTCAGTCGTCTTGCAAACACTCCTGTTGACCAAGTTGTTCAGGAGCTCTGGCGCCGGCAGCGGCAAGCACAAAACATCCCAGCTGACCAACGTGCTCTTCTCATCCTTCACATTGACGATCATCAGCTGGCACAGCGGGATTTTCTGTTATTCCATGGTCACACCGCTGATGCTGTTTCCGTCGCAATGGTATCCGCCTTCAAAGCAGTTGTCAACTGCAACGCTGACCTCAACTCCAAGAACACTGTCGTACTGCTCCTCACCGGCACTTCACGCGCAAACATGGACCGGTTGACAATCACCGAAGGTACTGTCCATCACTTGCAATTCGAGCCGATTACTGCATCTTCCGCCTTCGACTTGCTGACCGAGAGCTGGAGCGACAAACCATCAATCCATGCCATGTGGCGTGCACATCCCGAATTTGTTCAGCTGGTTCGCGATCTTGGTGGCAACCCTCGCCTCATTCGGGCACTCACCTACAATTACGCACTGAGCAAACCGCCGCCTCGGGACTATGATGACGTGATCCGTACGCTCGCGGATGTCTCATCAGAGTTGTCATCTGTGGCGCGTGCATACATGACGAGTTGGCATAATAGTGTCAACAACATCATCAGTCTTGTGTACCTCTTGTTGAGTCCGATTCCTGTGTCGTCTTCGTTGACACTTGGTGAAAAGTCCATCGACCAGCTTGCTTTTGATGGATTTCTGACGCTGGCTCCTCACGAGGATCGCGTTGTCGTCGGGTGCCCGATTCCCATGATGTTGGCGATGGTGTTCAGAAACGAACAGCTCGCTTCAAGTTCTGTTGCTTCCTTGTTCCAGACGCCATTCAAATCGGTGTCAAACGGCCCCCTCTTCGAGCTGGTCGTTCTGTTTTCGCAAACTGCTCGACTTCACGCTTTGAGGAACTTTGGCCAAATTCCCGCGAGCCCTGCATCGCCCGCATCATCATCCGCGCCATCGCACGCACCGCTCTCAAGCATCCGAGAGCTCCTGAGGGTTACTGGCGCACTTTGCTACGCTGATGAAGGGACAATTTCGAAATCGTTTGCGCTTTCTGAACACTACGAGCCCGTCCTTCAGACTGGGCAAATCCTTTCCAACTCTCATTCAACGCTCAGCATGAGTGCGATGCTGCGAGGGAAGAATGGCTGGACAACCTATTCTTATGGTTCGCCTGATCTGCAGACCTACGCCACATCTCCCCAAAGCGTTTGTCCTGTTGTTCGGACAGAAATTGGAACCTTTGGTGTAGACATGTGGGTCGCGCTCCCAGCGGCCCCTCGACATAAACCACTTCTTGTGTTGTACCAGCTCAAAAACCACAAAAAGGTGGATACCGCCGATGCAGACAACTGGCGGGCGACCATCCGAAGCACATTCCAAGCGGTCAGCGTCGCCAATGGCCTCTACGATACTCTCCTTGTTTTCATGGTCACTGGAAGTGCGAGTGAGCACCAGGACCCTTCAGTCCGTCTGGAAAGGGATCGCGCTTGGGCGAGGACCCTGGTGACGCCACCAAACGGCCAGCCAGACCCTCGAGTGATTGTGCTGATGGGCGAGGATGTGTTCAACGCCGTGCCATTCTTTCGGACTCGTCTTCCAGCCGCTACAAGTTAGTCGACCCACCCTTTCCCGCACAATGGATTTTATTGATATATTGACATATAAACTGTTGCTCTTCATTACTAGTATTTCCGGAAAAAAAAATCGCATGCTTGAAGTCATATGCATATCCTGACAACAATTGTTCAATGCCCTCATTCCCCCCCCCCTCTCCCCCTATCGAGATCAACACAAGCGGGTGTGTGCTTTTGTCAAAAAAGAAAAACATGGCAGATCTGGAACGACAAACAACATTCAACCACGCTTCCCCGTTAACTATGAAACCCCTCCCCGTTGGCAGCAGCCATCCGTGCTCGCAAGCGCTAGAAATCGAGCTTATCCACCGTCCGTGACAAAAAAAAGCCGCTCTCTGCGGCGCTTTTTGAGCGAAAAGAGAAGAAAGAACAAAGCCAATCTTCACGATAAGTGGACCAAAACTGCTCGGCCGATGTTCAATGTAGGCCACTTCCTTCATCATTAACAGCGATAACAAATCGAAGACATTATAGCACAGATAGATCTACAACACAGGTGACACAAACCAAAGCAATTGCAAAAACAGAGAAAAAAAAAAGGTCACAAAAGAACGTAAAGCCGAGTACATGTAACACGTCCGTGAGCCCGCGAGAGAAGGAAAAAAAAAAAAAACAATCGACAAACGAAAAAAAAAATCCTCTTGAACCTTTCAAAGTTGCAAAAGAGGAACATCAAAATCTTTAAAGTTAAACCGAACTGGAACGGCAGTGTTTGGAACCCGCTGGTAGCGAACAACGCGACGACGGCGTCGCACCATGATCACCGTCAGAACGGTGGCGATTATTGCCAGGATGCCCGCTGCAACGGCGCCGCCAATGATGGCTGGCAGGGCAGGCTCGACTCGTCGCTCGCTGGTGGCTTGG